AAATAAGAGTATGTCCTTCAATCGTCCTCTACAGCCAGTTTGATAAAGAAGAAATGTTTGGCTCATAAATTCACTTCTAATTCTACTCTTCATTCATCTCGAGTAACTTTGCCTGAGATTCCACTTAGAATTGAATCTTTATTGCTTGGTGATTTCTACTATCATACCTACACAGTATCCCCACAAGGCATGCTAACCCAATGGCACTCCTGCAATCATCCTTCAGAAATATACCCCTGAAATGGTTCCTGTTCTCTCTAAACTCTACAATAAATTCCTGGCTGCTTCTTGCTTGGAAATCTTCTGTAGTTCCAGTTTTTAACGACTCAGACGAACCGACTGATCCTTTTAACTATCGGTCTATTAGCCTTCTACATCTTTTTGGTAAAGTACTAGAGTCTCTAATCAACTCTGAATTGGTCAAGCATCTCACTTCACATGGTCTTCTTTCAGATAAACAATATGGCTTTCGGGTCCCTAGGTCAACAGCTGATGTATTAACAATTTTTGCTGAAGAGTTTATCAAGTTCGGGAAAGTTGCTTTGGATATCTCGAAACCATTTAACAGGGTTTGATTACAAGTTTTCTTCACAAGTTAAAAGATTATGGTATTTCACTTAGCATCTAGTATAATTTACGTAGACATTTCAGTTAACCTGATGAATATTTAGGATCGTTTCTTAAATTTAAAATTGTTGAAAAACTACTAAACATTTTCTTTTATTTATAAATACTTGTTGCGAAAAAAATCTTTACATTTACTTTCATAAAGTCCATCAGGAGGAAAAATCGACTAAAATAAGTTTTCCTTTGGCCTTTATTCATTTATATATATATATATATATATATATATATATATAGTTTCGTAGGTGTACCTGTACGTCCACTCTTCAGGGTGTATCAGCAATTTCATGCTTATATTTTTAGTTTTTTATACTTTTAGCATTGGTGTAAGTTTTCATATTTTGTGTCTTCGTGCGTGCGCGTGGAGCCATGCGCCCGTTTGGGCGTTCCAGTGCGCGCCCGTCTTCGGGGATGTGCGTACCTGTAGGATGTCGTGATCATTTGTCCTTTTCGTTTATTTATTTGTTTATTTTACTTTTTACTCGCTCGTAAGCTTTTTCTCTCTTTGTTTTTTTTTTTTTAGTTTTTTTTTCCCCCTTTTTTTTCTTTTCTTTCGACAGTTGTTGCCGTTTGGGGGCGAATTGTGTCCCGATCTCTAAACCTGCCACACATTTTAATTTTTGGTCGTTCGATTATTTTTTCTTTTTAATTTTTTTTTCTGTGGAAGTTGTATTTCGCTCTTTACATAAATAATTGATATTAATTTTTAAATGATAAATATCATATCATATATATATATATATATATATATATATATATATATATATATATGATACTAATGATATTATCAGATAAATACTTATATATACACATATATACATATATATATACGCACATCTATATATCTATATCTATCTATATATTATATATATATATATATATATATATATATATATTTGTATACATGCAGACATTGATTAGAAATTGTATATTATAAATGATTCCTTATAGAATGACGGGAAAAAAGGATATTTCGATTCCTACAAATGTGGTGACTATAAAAATGAAGTCATATGAATGCAAATCTAAAAAAATGATTCCCAGGAAAATTTCCCCTTTTTATAAGTAGTATTGGGACATTTCCTAATCTTTCTGTCTCTCTGCTTCTCTCTCTCTCTCTCTCTCTATATATATATATATATATATATATATATGTCTGTGTGTGTGTGTGTGTTTTGTTTGTGTGTGTGTGTGTGTGTGTGCGTGTGTGTGTAATAAGCGTTAAATGTAGTGCATACACTTTGAGTATACATTACTTTTTTAAAAATAAAATCAATGCCTCCTGTGCTGAACAATCGAAAATCTTATTAAAGAAAATGTACCTCTTGGCGTTTTCTTCAACCAGAGGAAAATCACCTTTAAACCAAGCATGCTTTTACTGCCCCGCCTCGAGAGACCTCCCAGCAAAAACAAGGTTCAGGTACCCTTTATAAGAAATGCACATCTCTAGTTTAGATCTTTTCAAAGCCCACAGCGTATCAGGAAGGGAAAGAAAATTATTTTTAAGTAATCAATCGATGTTACATTTTTTTAAATTGGCAATATTCTTTATGACTATAAATATGAAATTTAGTGGCTACATGTGTTTGAGTTGACATTTTTTTTTTTAATGTGTAAGAATAATGAATAGTTTTGGTGATTAATTACATACAAAATTATTTCTTCTTCTCCAAATCCTTACAATTAATTGGTACACGTGTTTCAGTTGATATCCCTGTTTGTCATTGTCATAAATAATTAAATTGATATCAAGTGGCCTTGATGAAAACATCCTACTAAAAAAAGAAGGTACTTTCCGACAGCAATTGAAAGTAGATTCATTTTTTCTCATCAGACAAAACTCTCCGTCCTATAGCTGAAGTGTTCTGTTAACAATTTAACTATGGGAGACCGTCACGATAAATTAAGATTCAGTTACCTATTTAAGGAATGCCCATCTCACGTTAGAACTCGTGGCCAAATTAGTAACGACACGCTTCGGCTATAGGAGTCGTTTTACTTGATGGAAAATGGGGACATAGGTTCGTTTCCTGTTTGGAGGTATATTTTTTTCTTTAGTAAGGCGTCTTAATCTAGGCCGGTTGATATTTATTTCACTGTTTAAGAAAATAAAAAAAGAAAGATATCAACTCAAATATGTATGCCCATTAAAATAACTTTTATAGTAATTAGAAATTAGAAATAATATCTGATAAAAAATCCATTTAAAAAATGCATAATTATATACCGACAGATAGAGTTAAAAAAACAAACTGTGTTAATGTGATAATCATTATTAGATGAAATATCTGCTTTCATACAGCAAAAGATAAAGTTTAAGAAGCTAATAATTTCAGTTAATAGTAAAAGGAAAAACCTATCCGATGGTTACCTATGAAAACAAAATTTTCATTTAGAATCAGTTAACTTGATGGTTTAATGAGTCACACTTTTCACCGTACAGTCACAATAATCACCTCGCAACCCGTACAAATTGATTTTTTGGTAAACGGTTTAAGGTCTGAAGCTCGAATTATGTCTACTTCTGTACAATCTCTTTCATGAATTAATAGAGTGGACCTGACAAGAAATATAAGCGCATGCATAGTGTGACCACACGATGCACATCTGATGTCGTCAGAAAACAAATTGGGTGGTGGTGGGGGGAACACTTCAAAGAGGTGGAACCAATTCTATAGAGTCCAGATTCCTTTTCATAGAATACAGGAAGTAAATGTTCGAAAGTAAATGCCAGAATCAGAGCTGTATGGACGAACGAATGGCGAACCAGCAGTGAATAGTTACGGGGAAAGAAGGAAAAGCGTTTCAGACTTCATTGATTAAAAGCCTTTATTCACTCATGCAAACAGATCAACATTCGAGGGGGTTAAAAGCAGTCTACATCCGATGATTGTGTTTAGTCACATTTATCCTTCAGCTCTGCTGCATCTACAATTACATTTGTGATTTAGAAACGAGATAGGAAATCATTTACTAGTCCGAGTCGATTTTCAACAAAGGTAACATTTTTACAAAAACCCAATAAGGAATAAAACTCTTTTCAGTGTCTTGATACATATCTTATCTCACTTATCGTCAATCTAAGGCATGCGAGTAAGCTGATATACGTAGAGAGCCTTCATAGGAAATTCTGCCTGGTGGCTGAGAAAGTTGTGTATTTCTCTTTAGTGTCATTATTTTGTATAAACAGATCTTATATATTATTATATGAAAATTAGGAAAACGCTTTTTTTAAAACATACTTTTTAGATTTTTGCCAAACTACATTAAATTTACAAACATCTATATGGGTTTTTACATAAATCATGTTTTATTTAAATGCATATCCCTATTTAAGATCAAGCGACCCCCGGCAATTTTTTTTCCTTGATCCGTTTTATTCCGTCAATTAAAAAAGAATGATAACTGAATGGCAAACAAAAAAAAAAAAAAATGTCCTCTCAACAAATCCAGACTTTGTTTATAACGCTGAATATCATTATATTTAAAATATCTATGTCTCCAAACTCCAATTTAGTATCTTTAAGCTTCCAGAGCAGATTATTTGCTATAAGATATACCTATCCCTGAGACAAATTGCGTTGATAAAGAAGATTTAAGTTTTAAGCTAGTTTGACACTTTGTCCACTTGATTAATTTTTTCTTTTTAATGTTGTTACCGGATCCTTTCCATTCATTTTTTTCTCTCTTCATAATAACACAAAAGTGTGTCATGATAATCTTCCCTGCTCTGATTAACATCGACTTTGTTCGGGGATGTGTGTCTATAATCAGTCTGAGAAAATGAAGGTGGACCAGATTTTTGATTCATGTGATAGAATAAGGGAAAGACGAAAAAGGGTGTAGAAAAGAATAGAAAGAGAGAAACAAAGCAATAAATGAGAGGGAAAATTCGAAACGCAACCAAAGGGTGTAATGTAAGGCCTGAATGTAAAAGAGAGACAGAGAAAAAAGAAAAAAAGAAAGAAAGATAAATGTAGGGAGATAAACAAAAAAGAGAAAGAGAGGGAGAGATATCCAAAGAAAAGACAAAAGAGAAATAAGTAAAAAAAGGTTTGATATGCTGATCTTTTGGTTTAAATCCGGTTTCGCAGTGTTTCGTTGTTATGGCAACGGCGCAAACACTTTAATAGTGGATACCGCGAGGAACTGTTGTCAGATGCACGGACAGACGCATAAGTAAACGAATAAAAAAAAATCACATCAAGAAAAACTTAATGGGATTAAATTTTAAGTTAGGAATTGGCAGGAGGTTAAGTAGACTCGATTCATTGAAAGGAGAATTTTGCCTTTTGCAAATAGACATAAAGCAACCCTTAAAAACGAAAGAATGAGAAAATCAAACATTTTTTGGTCCAAAATCCATTTATCCGTTGATGATAGGAAATCCATCAAAAGTTCTGCATCATTTTTTCTCTTTGTCGCGTCTTTCTTATGGGAAGTAAATTTAAATTTGTTTCCAGCATTTTTAAACAAAATTTAAACTCGCTTTTGTTTGTATTCTAGAACACAATCTCGAAAAGCCTTTTGAGTCGAATGTCGTGACTTATATGTTAACATGTTTGTGTATGTGTATATGTTCGATGTTTTTAGTTGGTTCTACATTTGATTGATAATTTAAGAAAAGATTTACCTTACAATATCCTGTTTTGACTATACATTGGTAATGCTTTCAATACCCAGAGCCAATATAACATGCAGTGTTATTTTACGAATATACATGTTATGGAATTTCCTCTAGATTTTCTGTTTACGTTAAATTATAAGTTATAGGTTTTATGATGTAGTATTAAAAGGTAATTTACAATGAATTAACAGTTTATTAAAACTAATACCAACAGGACATTATTAACATATTCTGTTCGCAGCCTACACATTTTTATCCTCGCCAAAATCGCCGTTTAAATTTTCAAAAATAAGGCTGTAATGCATTCTACTAATTTTCTCTAAATTGTATTTGATCTATAACAATACAATGATCTTTGTGTGTTGTGTATTAAATATTCTACGACATCTATAATAAGTTAAATTGTTTAAATATTTTCTGCTCTAGTCAACAATACAAAAGATTCATTATTTCACTTTACCACGTGTTTTAGTTAAAATAACCACACTTCAATTTTATTAAATCGAATTAAGGCAAAAGTCGTTTTTATTACCAACAGAAATACGTAATATTAACAGACGCCATCTTTATTGTTATCTATGAACGCTAATTGTGTTTAAATGTCTATCCTTATCTACCAAATTTTTCTCAATGTATCAAATACTTTCCAAGAAAAACATATTCTTCAAGTGACTTCCAGTGCTATTTTATATTTGTTAGTTTTATTATAAACAGATTTAATTATCGTCAAAATAATGCAATAAAATCACAGCTAATAAATTATCATTTACATTATTAGATTCCATGTTGCATTTTTCTACCAAAGTTTTACCACCTCACATCAGAAAATGCCAATAAAAAAGGAAAATAAATACATTCTAGTAAGAAAGTCAGTTTGTTTTTGTTTTTTTTTAAATTTCTATTCGGAATTTAAAAAATATGCCGATTTTCGCTTTCCCTTATTTCTATTTCTCTTAAAAAATATAAGAATTTAAACTTTATAGTACAAGAAACACCTTCCTATTGTTTTCGTAGATCTTATGAGGAACGCAAGAATCTCCTTCGTCTTGAATAAAATTCCTTAAATATTCCCATTTGACACGATAAACAATGAGAGTTACTGTAACTACACAGGAGGAATATTTTTCATTCAACTAAAATTTTGTCCAATGTATTTCAATTACTTAAACTTTTAAGCAATTGAAATACATTGGACAAAATTTTAGTTGAATGAAAAATATTCTCTCTAAGAATGCAGATATTACATAGGTCAACTTTTCCACCTACAAAAGAAAAAAAAAAGACTTTATTTGCGAATAAAAAAAAATCAATGCCGGATATGTTTATCCCCTAACTACGGGCGTAATGGCTGATCGTATTCCCTTCATTTTCAAGTCACATGACAGGTGCAGCTTATCTTTCGAAGAGATTTAATGAATCGCATGCCAGAACAAAACTCAATCATTTCCACATCATCAAATATTCATGTCGGGAGTCTTGATTAAGCAAACTGACTCTGAACGCCGCGTTCATCTCTTTCTTCTTATTGAGATGAAAATCCTGATTTCACGTCACATGATCAGAAATTTTGACCCGGATGTTGATAGAAAGTAATTGGAGCCAATTTATTTCTGGATGCGCACCTTGCAAAATCAAAAGAACAATTTCTGGTGATTAATCTAATCTCATTTATATTATCAAAGCTTTATTAGAAATAAGAATTCGTTATTCAAGAAACTAATCAAAATCGATCGAAATGATACAATACTTATTTATACATACGAAATATACATCTCTGTGTGTGTGCGTGCGTGCGTGTGTGTATGTGCAAACGGTCATCTAAGACTGAGGGTGGACTGAAAATTCAGTCAATCATTGGAGGACACGAAGTGACACAATTCAATGTCTAATAGACAAAAGTAATGTTTTTGTTTCTTTTTTTTCTCATTACTATTTAGATTATCTTAGTTAAAGAACACAGCTGAACTATCTGATCCTTCCAACTATAGGACTATTAGCCTTCTAAATTTTTTTGTCAAAGTACTAAATGCTTTAATCAATTCTGAATTGGTCAAGCTTCTCACATCGGAGAGTCTTCTTTCAAATATGCAATATGGCTTTCGCATCTCTAGGTCAACCACTGATGTCTTAACAGTTATTGCTGAAAGAATTTAGCAATGTTTAGATAATCATGGCGAAGCTCGAGCTGTTGCTTTGGACACATCTCGAAAGCATTTGACAGAGTCTGGCATACCGGTCTCCTTCACAAGTTGAAAGATGATAGAGATTTTCCAAGCGTAGCTTAGATGTGCCAAAAAGGCCAAAAGTATGGGGCACCCAGTGTGGATCGAACTCACTAGTCAGTCGTAATGTGGCAAAGTTTCTTCTGCAGTGACGTCCTGTCAACATGTGACTGAGCATTTTCAGGAAGTAGAATTGGACCTCGTCAATTAACCCTGTGCCACTCGCAATTTGCTTGACTGAATGTGCATTTCATCCAGTTACTGGCAAGTGTTTTCATATGTTGATTATCAATTGCAGATGGACTTACTCCATCACATTGGTCTTCAAGATTCGTATCCCCCCCCCACACTGCGAAACTTCAAAAATCAGAGCCATACTTTCCAATCAACAAATGAATGCTTAATGTTGGCAGCAGTTTGAGAAACATTATGACCAAATTTGAACTCATGCAAAAAAGTAAATGTATTTCTTCTTTTTCCATGTTTAAGATGAAACTTATCTGAAAGAGATTGATATAAAATTTACACTTAAGTCATAACGAAGAAGAAATATATATTTGTGCAACTATTATAATCATATATTAGAACACAATTAAAAGTTCTTTTTTCTTTAATCGGAGTTTATTTTCCGAACAATCTAATAATTAGTTGTTTTGTTTTTACTTCGCTTAAAATACCCCCCTCTCTCTCTCTCTCTCTTCCTCCCTCTCTTCCTTTCTACTCTCTCTCTCTCTCTCTTCCTCCCTCTCTTCCTTTCTACTCTCTCTCTCTTCCTCCCTCTCTTCCTTTCTACTCCCCCCCTCTCTCTATTGGTAGGTTTTATTTTCGGTCATACCTCGTTTTTATTGTTTTGCTTTGGTTTTTAATCTTTTAAACTGTGCTTCGATTGAAATGTACTGATTATTCATTAGTAATAACAAATGAACCAACAATCCACTAAATTAATAAGGTCATATAAAGACTAAAGACTGACAATAGGCGAGGCCAATTCCTATGAAAAAGGCTGAACTTGATAGAAAAAAAATGAAAACTATGTAACTCCTCCACTTGAAATAAAAACTTAATTCGAAATTTCCAAAAAGTTATCAAACGACACATATCTGAAGAAGGCTGAAAGAATTGAAACTATTGAAAATAACCAATTTCAATTTAAAAATGTGATTTCAATTAAAATAACATTTATATCATGAGATTAATTTCAGGTAGAATTTTTGAAAGGGCATATTGTTAAAATTATACATTGATTCTTGTAGACAAGTTTTATCGCCTTTGTCTTTACCCTAACAGGACTCTATATCCCCTCTTGCCTGATTCTATTGAACGAATATGCAATATTCGACACAGGAATTGAATTTCAAAATATCGCTCATCATATCAAAAACAGCTAAAGTACATCTATCAACATAAGAAAAATAAGAATACTATGCCGAACTTAGTGTAACAAAAGACAAAGAATATTAAAAGCCATTATTATACAAAATAAAAATGACTATATTAAATAAAACATCTTTCCCCACAATAGACAACATTTTGAAATGTGTATAAAATATTTAATATGCTTACAAAGTAATAATAATATTAATAATAATAATAATACATCTAAATATTTGATAAATGTTTTTCTATGCGGTCTAGCTCGCTTTAACAGTTATACATTACGTTACTTCCGAATTTCAGTGCTCTAAAAATGCCTGGATGTATCCATCAAAATTTTGTCTACCACAGTGAAAACACCCAGTTCTTCATAATTACTGAGGCTGTCGAAAAAAGTTGAACAAAACAAAAAAAAAAAAGACATGAACTTTGAACAGTTTATTCACAAATTCGATCCCGATGAACAAAGATCTTATCTTCCTAGACTAAAAATTAAAAAAAGATTGGACTTACCGGCAGAATTTAACAGAACTTTGCTGCCAAAATCCACTAAGAAGTCCAAAATTATTTTAAAATTCATATGTAATTCATTAACATATATTACATAATCATCTATTATCTCCTTCAAAGCTTTATAAAAATGTAAAAGAAATATTTTAGTATCGAGAAAAATCCTGTACATAAGGTTGTGTTCGAATCTGCATTGTTCTGTAAATTGCAAGTGTTAAACCGAGAATTGGGAGGGTAAGTTTAATTTTATTATCCAGTTGAATTCTTCCTGTATGAGGGCAAACAATATTACACATTTACAATGTATAAAACTGGGACTCATTTCCTTCAAAGCAAGATGTAAGTGTTCTGATTGCTAGCAACATATATCTGCTATAATTGTAACATTGACTGATAGAAATTCAATATAAACCCCAACAACCAATCTCAGTAAACACTTACCAAATTTTTCCTTGGAAGGAGATCTATTTTGCATAGTGTTTTGGCCTATTCGCCTTCACATTGTCTACATTGACTAATTATTTATTTATATGCTTGTAAAATATCCATTTTCATTACCAGTCACTAATCTGTTCCCACATAGCAAGTTACATTCACGAGAGCACAAAACTATACAAACGTCTCCTCTTGTTTCACGGTTGGCTTTTGACAACTAATGGAGAACCCATTTGACAAGTTTATATATTGTTCAAAGTTGTTAGAGATGACAGTTGGCCATCGACTTGTTTGCATTCAATTTCCGAGCTGCGTCTTCAACTAGAACAGTACTATTTCTGTCGAATCCAGACAAACGTGGCTAATTATTAAATTCCACAGAACGGCTTGTTTTAATGCATTCTTAAGCAAAAAAAAAAACAAACTTTTATAAACTTTTAAAACCATCTTGGGAAATTTGCTTGGTTTAAAGAATCTATGAAATAAAAATGTATCGTTGAACCAAAGGAGAAAATAAGTATTTTTCTAGATTATAAACTATTAAATAGAAAATCAAAACTTATTTTCAAACGAAAATGAATTCCTACGATGCCACCCACAATCACATCCGATATTCAAAAGACACATAACATAAATCTAATAAACTTTATTTCAAATACTAAATTTTAAAAAATCAGGATTAAAATAATCTAAAATATTAGTCCTAAAAACAACTGGAAATTTCCCTTTTTCTTTCATTTCTTATATTCATCGGTCACTTATACAAAGAACCCGCGCAAGGAGTAGTAACGCATGGTTTGATAATTGTCTGAAGTGTGAAACTAAGTCAGCATGCACTTTTTATTTATTTATGTGCACACTCTATATCTCTACAAACATTTAGCACTTTTCTTCTATTAGAAATATTAAACAATATAATTCTAATCTACATAATTATATAGAATTCTAATTTACATAATTATATATAATTATAATCTACATCTGGCCGTACGTGTCTATGTACGATATGGCAATCCTCAATCACTTTACATGGCATCTCTCTTCAAAATATAAGCGATAATGGCTCTCCACATATTACTTTTCTTTAATATCACAGAAATTCCTTCTTGGTGTAGTGGGTTAGTTTTCTGTTGCCATTTCATTGGTTTTCAAATCAATAGTTCTTCACCTAGACTGGCAGCCACACATGAGAGCTTAGTTCACCCTGCTATTTAACCTAGACACAGTGCGAAAAGAGATAAATCCGGTATTTCCCGATGGCATTAGTTTGAAAATGAACACAACAATGTTTACTATTTCTTTCTACAAACATTTACAAACGAAAATTAATGATCAAAATATCAAAAAATTGCTGCTTTTAAAAGTTCAGAGTCTGAAAAAATAACTTTATTTCAATATTTACTTACCTTCCCGGTTTTATAATCTTACCCTTTACCTAACTCATCGGATTTTACGATGCAAGTTAATCTCTTAAGACAATTGATATTAATGAATCGATGTCGGTGGAAATATTCAGGATATATTAGTCGTGTGTATTTCTGATGATAATTTGTTTCTTAGGTGTCTGGTTTTTTTATGCAAGGTGTAAAATAAATAAGTTCAAAATCTATTGACCACAGAAGAAATATTTGATTAACACATTCTCCTGTATATCTTTATTTATATTTGAAATGGGTTCCCATCCTTCAATAAGTTTACAATATTGTCTTTCACTTACGAAATGAAAACTTGATTTCGATTCAGGGCAATCGTGTGACACTATTTAGCTGCGATAATTGGTTAACATAGAAATTAAAACAAAAAAATACTGAAAACGGAAAAGAAGATACCCCGAAATTTTTATTTATTTATTTTACTTAAGAATAAAATCGAGTTACTTTCTCAGACACCCGTAAATTGGCGTAGACAGTGGACCCGCAGAAAGGCCATATGCGAGCTTTTGACAGTTGATTAAAGGTGTTTGTACAAGTGTTTGCCGAGAAAAACAAAAGATTCAGAAAAAGCGTTGTGATATCAAGCGGAAGACCATATGGTGATTATAAAAAATTTGGCATGAGAAAGTATTCCGAAATGATTTGCCGATACGAGATAGAGTGAATCAATATTAATTATCTTTCCAAGATATCATTTTTAAGTGCCGGTAAGTTGAAGAGCCGAATGTACATTGTTAGAAATTTCAGCATGAGAAAATATTCCAATACAAGGTGGAGAGAATTGTTATTATTTACTTTTCCAAAATGTCGTCTTCAGTACCGACACGTTAAGTAACCATATGGTGATAGTAAAATTTTGGCCTGAGAAAAATATCTCGGAAGAATTGCGGATTTCGGAGATAGAGAAATCCATTTTCTCAAGAAGCCAAAGGTTCCAGTAAATGCTAACTTCATGAAGAGACCAGATGGCAAACTTTGACAATTGATTGATGAAGTTTGTAAAGACCCGCTGGTTAAGAAGGCACAGAGTGACCAAAAGATCTGAGAGATTTTAAGTGGCAATGTGGGATTCGTAAAAATTTTGGCCGATGAAAAAAAAAAAGAAGAATTTTGTAAACAAAAAATTCTCGGTTATAATTTTAATGAGGCTAGCTTAGCCACGCGCCACGGCCGGGAGGCCATTGGTCGAGTGGTAGCGGATGTAATTTTATGAGAAGGACGGGGAAGTTATTAACGCCCACTGAAGGGATTGGTACGAGGTATCAATGTGAGAAGGGGGAGTTTAGGAGGATAGCTCTCCTCCAACCTCTCCTCACGGACCAAAGGATTCCGCCGAGTGGCGACGACACCGATCGACCGGGACACAGTCTGGTAGCAGCGACTACGAGTCAACCCCAAAATGCCAGTAGAAGAATTATTACAGTTTCGCGCCGCGACTGGGAGTTGACCACGGGCCGACAGCTCAGTGTCACATATTGGTGCCGTGACGACCAGGATTCGATCCTGGACAGGCCAGTGTCACAATCGTTATATATCCGAAATTAGCAAATAAATATTAAAAAAAAGTATACGATTATATCTATTAATGATATGAGAATTAACCGCCAGATTAGTTTCATCGTTAATCTTTCTCATGAAAACATATATTGTTCATTTATTTTGTGTTTTACAAACATCGTCTGGATAATACCAGTTTTATTTTGAAATTATTGATTTCCATTGTAAACTCTGGCATAATGTAAAAACTATAATTTACAACTTACAACGATAACCCAAGGAGTTGGTTTTAATTCCTTTTTAATCAAAGATTAACGACCATGTTATTCTTTAAAATATGTAGAAACGAAAAATTCAAACATCAATTGTCGTCTGGCCTTAACTGGAATATTTTAGCATAATCTAATGAAATACTTTTTTTAAATAAATAAAATATTTAAAAATATAGATTAAAAAAATATTTGCATGTGAATTAATAATTTATCCATAGATGTCGTAGTATATATAAAACTTTGTTCCAAAACAAGGAAAGTAATGTTCGCGTATAGTGTCCTTTTATAGTT